TTAGTCTTCGAGACTCCGGGAGAACCTGAAGAGTGCGGAGCCGCTAACCACGTCCTCTATCACTATAAATCTAACCCCTGAGACCGTCACCGTCTGTACCAACCTGTTGGTCAGTTGGTGGACTTCATCGAAATCGATGGTTGAGCACACATACAGTATAGGCAGCATTAATAAATAGACGATACGACGTTTTATGGATGAACCTTTTGAAATCTTTAAAAAACTAACAAGTAGAAATTTGTTTAAAAGAGAATGATACCCTTCTCTCAGTAAGAGATATAAAAAGGGCCAATTTGCTAAAAAGGCGAATGCAAGAAATGACTTTTTCTAATGGTTTAGACACAATATGATTTCTGCCCATAGCTCTGACTGGCAAAGTAAAACAAACGCGGGGCAACGGCTGCAGTGCCTATGACCTGCCCATCGAGGCCGACGAGTTTAGCACTAGTGGGTCAAGCAAATATTCAAAAACCTCATACTACTATATTCTGTAGCCGGTAATTATTTGGTGAATTCTAGATTGATTCCATAGGAAATCCTTTTTAGACACTTAACTTACTGCGTCATATTTGGCGGATTGCGTGCTGGTATTGATACCACATATACATTAGCATATATGCCCGTAAGTTAATTTGTAAGGAGTTTCTGCGGAGCACTTTACTCTTTTGGAAGTGCAGGATTCCACTAAACCGGCATTTACACTTTGGGTGTTTTGAAGCATGGCGCCAAGTTTTAGATGTATTTCGTTGGACGCTAATCCACAATAGAGCACTCAAGCAACATCTAAGAGGTGTGGCTAAAGTTGAATGAAGACCATTGCTCTGAGATCCGGACCGCCAGTAAAATATATTTTCTCCAGTTTCCCTACCCTATCTTCTCATAATTTTGCTTAATAAATTTCCACAGAATTTGTTTTCCAGTTTTGGCATTGGGACATTTTTATCTCTCCATGACCAAACTTTCCCTCTTGACTCCCACGAAAACATGTATTGAGAATGTGTTTTGTTGGAGGTTCTCATAGCTTCTGTAAAGCGCCAATGCGAAGGTGGCACTCTGCTCCCCCCTGCGCCTTCCCTTACCATGCGCATGTGAAGCAGGTGTTGTCGTCATTATAGGAAAGAAACCCTTACTAGAGATCACGGAGTCAGACATCAGGAAAAAATTGTTTTACCCATCATGCGTGAAGAGCGCATTATTTCCTCCTGATTCTCTACCTAATTTTCCCACGGGTGTGCACAATACACAGGCTCAGAACGCGCTTTGCAGTTTTGCCTTTGAGGAGGTGGTTTGGGATTGGGTTCATGCCTGCCTGAGCCAGCTTCCCCATCGCGTAGCTCCAACAATTGTGTCTATGCGGAGACGGCTATCTGCGTCTCCCTGTCCCTTGCGTAATTCAGCATGCGTATAGATAACAACAAGTGGGCAGTTTATGGAAAAAAAAACAATTGCTCAGAGCATTTGCGCTTCCCTGAGTCACGCATGAGGTAAAATGCTTCATTGTCTTGCGTGGCAAAATGAAAGGGCTACCATACTTATTAGGTAGCCTTCCAAAGTGTTGTCTCTGTTATGAGAAAAGGACTTTTGAATGGGCTTTTAAAGCTTATCGAAATCGACAGGAACTAGTGAGAGCCGCAAATATATAGAAGATAGTTCCGACAATACTGTTGTTCATGGGCTTCCGTATGGACAGAAAATCCCCATTTGGCAGTATGTGTGGTGTTGTGGGTGTTTTTGTAAACCAGAAGTGGTGCATTAACTCTAAGTCCATATTTACTTAGCGTACACCGTAGAATTCGTTTAACATGCTGACATATACGAAAGATTGATACTCTTTCGCTAATCGGAATTGAGTAAGTTTGTAAAAACTGATTATCGTGTGGTCTGTTCATAAGTCATTTCCGTCATGATAGGACGCCGGCTTTTTAACAAGCTTTTTGTGACCACTAACAAAATATACGCAAGCTACCAGGTGACTACTTAAGTGGTCTAGCGATGAAATTCTGATCAACTATCGCGAGCTTCTTCTTCCCAGGTATAGCTCCAGTTGCGTGTTTTGTCAATTGCGAGTGAGTAACTGTGTGTCTGGCGTCTCACCTTCGGCCTTCTTATTAACCCTGTCTGTCAGCATGCCGCGCGTTTTGGTTTGGTCCACATGTGCGTTGGGTCCGTCGGCCTTGTCGCACCATGGCTAGTTTCAGACATATAGACGTTGGCCTTGGAGCTAGTTGGCGGCCCCGGTTATTCCATCCCGGGACTGTACCCTAATGGGAGGGTTCATAAAATAACATACTTCAAGATTCATTTCGTTGCTGTTGATTATCCTGGGCCTGCATATCAAAATATATAAAATGCGATA